GTGCTAATTAACTATGGGTGTGTGTGTGTGTGTGTGTGTGTGTGTGTGTGTGTGTGTTTGGGGCGGCCCTGCGCCGCTCCGTTAGTGTGTACTTTTGGTGGCGTGGCTCATGAATGATGTAAAATGGTAGTTCTTTGACTTCGAAATATAAGTTTTGATTGCGTGGTGAATTTTCTGTTTTGAGCTATTCTCGAAAGATTGGTAATATTATCTGGTTAGTGCTATGGATCTTTCATCACTGATAAAATAGTGAATTATGAGATTAATTTATTCGTAGGGTTTTTCATGTTTAAATTCTACCCCATATATAGTTCTTGTTTGGGGATGCACATGTATTTTGACAAAATTAAACGTCTATCTAATTTCAGAAGTGGAAGTAGGAATCTTGAAAATTTGTCTCCTCCCCGGAATTGCTTTCTGTTCGGCCTTCAGTAGCAGTGATAGCACACATCTGAATGTATACTTACATGACCTCCTTTTACGACATGAGTTCAAATGAGCTTCTGGAGGGAAATTGAGAATTAATAATTCAGTATTATAAATATCCTAATGAGGTGATAAAGAATTTTACCATTTTCTATTTGTAGCTTTTTACCTTCATAATTTTTGTTTATGTGAACTTTCGATATCTTGTTTTTACATGTAGTTGATTATGGGTCCGCCAAGAAAGTTGAAAAGTGTCAATAGGCGGTATATCGACGAAGTATCTCCTACTAAAGATGGTGATAGTGCTAAAAGAAGTGATACCAAAGTGAGATTTCTTGTCCTCTAATTTTTCTCTTTTACTGTTGTCCTTCAACTTGTCTAATCCTACTTCTTGTTGTGCAAAATATACCTTTGAGTGATAACTTCTTCTTGATGTGTTCCCCCAAAACCCCAATCATATTATGTAGAGTTTCCCGGAGATGGCACAAAAACTTCTATAAGCTTCTCCTACTTTCAAGACATTGTCATAAATTCTTTTCAAATGCCTAGCATCATTTCACTATGATATGAACTTTTCATGATTACTACCTTCTAAGTTACAGAGGTTTAGTTTTAATTACTCCTTCCTCTCACTTCCCTGAAACCCCAATTATCTCATGTGGAGTTTCCCATAGATGACACAATAACTTCTATAAGCTTCCCCTTATTTTCAAAAAATTATCATAAATTTGTTTTAAATGTCTAGCATCATTTACTATGATATAAACATTCATGATTACTACCTTCTAAGTTACAGAGGTTTAGTTTTAATTACTCCTTCCTCTCATTCGAGGGTTGAGGCAGATATCCTGTTTATTGACTGAAACTTTATGAGCTTATCTCTCAAAAATATGGGTTACATGTTCACGTGTGCAGTAATGAAAGACATGTCAAACATTTTTTAAGTTTATGTCACATTACGGAAATATTGGAACATTTCATTGAGTGATGTTTTTGTTTCATTTGTTATTCATAGTCTAAGAAACTTTATCTTTATTTTTTAAAGTGGATTAGCAGCTTGACTTCATATGCTAGTATTCAGGTACATTGTGGTATCCTTCTAAGAATTATCACAGCCATGCTATCCATTTTTGGTTCCTTGATTAAGTAATTCTTCCTTTGTCTTCTTCACCTTTTTCTTTATTTTAGAATGAAGAAGAAAATAAATTCTAATAATGGTTGTAGCTGTACCAAGTGCTGGCTGTGCATCTTTAGACCAATAATTCACCTTGTTTTCTGATTTATCAGAAAAGAAAGTTGTCTGACCTGCTTGGGCCTCGATGGACAACGGATGAGTTGACTCGTTTTTATGATGCATACCGCAAGTATGGTAAAGATTGGGACAAGGTCAGTTCAACTCTATAAATTACTTGATGAAGTGCATGGATTGTGTTAATTTTCTCTTTGTTTTTTTAATAGCGACTTGCCCTGACTCAAGCAGGTATTGTCTTACTTCATGGATTCATCAGTTTGTAATTTTGGTTAATCTAGGTGGCCGGTGCTGTAAGAAGTCGGTCTTCAGAAACGGTGGAAGCCATTTACACAATGAATAGGGTAAGCTTGCTCTTTGATTTAAGCATTTAACCATAATGAATGGATTACTTATTCTGTATTGGAATCTCAGGCATAGCCTTTATTGATAGGCTATGGTTAACTGGAAAACCCATTGTATTCCTAAAAATTATTTCACATGGTCCATCTATACATTTATCCTAGTACTCCCCATTGTCCAAAATAAAGTTCTTTTATCACAGAATATTTGTCCCAAAAAATAATCAAGGCAGAATTACCCATATTATGCTAGTTGGAAGTGGAAAAATTGTTAGTAATAAAATAGTGATAAGATACAACTCTTTAGATATGTAGCATAATAATTAGACTTAGGTGATGTGATATCAATCTTTTATATTTTCTGTAACACTGAAATTTTCTGTAATGACAGTTATCTTGGGATGAAAAGAGTTTAACTAAATTGATTTTTAAAGATTCTCATGCAATAAAAACTAAATTTACGATGCTGACATCAGATAATCTATTGCATATCTATAGTTGCAGTGATAATAAATATTACCTAAGAGTTTTGATAACAATCACATGCAGAACCATGAAATGAATATGCAAGTACTCTCTTTTATGCACATTAGGGAGTCATTTTAGGTCTTTTAGAGGACACAGCAGACATATCAATACATGAATGCCTCATTCTTGGTACTGATTATATAGATGATAAGGTTGCCATTGATAGTTAATATCTAATAAAATTAACGATATGATGAAGGGGTATATCATTTTCTAACTAGTGAAGATTTGCAAGTTGTGTACATATAATATAACTATAACTAATCCACATGGTCTGCATTATTTATTTTTTAGTTATTCTGTTGTTTCACACCTATAGGCTATATTGAAAGCTGTGTTAGGCCAAGATGGCCCAAATTAAACTCTAGAGTTTGCAAATTTTACAACAAAGAACACCTATCTGTGGCTGGTACAACCATGCTTCTCTGTAATGTTTACCAACTTTTTTCTGGTGATGATTTCTGGGTTTGAATTGCAGGCTTACTTGTCTCTTCCTCATGGAACTGCTTCTGCAACTGCATTTATTGCTATGATGACTGATCATTATAGCAATTTGGTTAGTGTTTTAATTCAAGATTCAGATATAGGAAGAAAGTTCATCGTTCAAATTT